TTTTGTTGCAGGAGGAAGATGGACAGTACAACATCTGTCAAAGCTCAAAGCATCTCCCAAGCCCAAACATGACCCGCTGAGACAGAATACCCCCCGACCTTCGACCTCCGACGACCAAAGCTTTCTCCCCCCTCCCTATCCCAATGTACAAAAGCTGCTGACTCAAAGAGAAAAAACCGGACCCGGCCAAGTACGATACAAAGTCCAATCCGGCGCGTTCCCAGGGCATACATGCGGCCAATGCATCGGAGGATGGAGATACAACTCAAACTGCTCGTACGAGCAAGGAACCCACGCATGCACCATGGGAGAATCATCAAAGACCCACCAGCGTTGCGAAGCAGAGTGGTAAGCCAAACGCGGGCCCGGCCAGTACCCCGTAACCACACCCGTATAGGGATCGCAGTACGACCAGGTCGGGTGCGGATCGTAGTGCAGAAACCCTCCTGGCTGGTGGGTGAAGCTCCAGGCGGGAGAAGGGTCGTGGTATGTCCACCCCGGCATCTTGTCGTGGTAGGCGAGCTGGGCTAGTTTCGGTCGCGGAGCCGGAGGAGGTGCCTGCTGGTGGTACCCATTTTGGTACCCATTTTGCCTGGCTCCTTGGGGTGGGAGATTTGTCGTTGTATTGTATCCCTCTTGACCTTGCCCGGCGGTGGATGTTGGGTTAAGGGGGGCTGCTACCTGGTACTGCTGTTGCCCAGGCTGTGTTTCCACGGGCACTTGTGGGGGGTTTCTGTTGTTTTCCCCTTGCGGGTGTGATGTTGAATTGGGCGGAGGCGCCTGGTATTCTTGTTGTTGCGTCTCCTGTGGTTCTAAAAGCTCTGGTTGGGGGTTTATGTTGTTATCCCCATGTCCGCTGAGGGTTTGGTTGGAAGGGTCAGCAGGACTGCTCGAGTCGGTACCAGGCAATTCCGTGACGGTGATGATGACTTCAACTTTGTCGTCCTTTGTGATGGCCGTTTGGTTAGAAGGGCTAGGGAGTCTCGGTTCAGTACTAGGCAATATGACGACAACTGAGCTTTCATCCTTTGTAATAGCCGCTTGCGTCACTGGATTGCCAGCGATGGGCTCATTGGTGACAGACACCGGCTCATTCTCATCCTCCACCTCCCCCACCACCTCCTTCTTGCCTTTCTCCTGGGACAGCCTCAAGACCTCCCCTCGTTGAGGAGCCATCGTTGGATATTGACCGAACGGGTATTGTGGTTGTTGGATCCTATGAGCCGAGAACATCTGCTGGGTAGTCATCGTGGTCGGGTCGTCCTCGGGCTCCACGTATTGCTCGACAACCGTGAAGGTAAGTGTTTCCGAGGAAGGGTCATCTTCTTCTGCCGATGTCATAAAGACCTTCTGATTCGATGGTGACAGGCGATTCATGATGGTCTGTTGAGTAGTTGTAGGACAATACGTGGAAGAGTCATCTTCTTCGGCCGACGTTATAGAGTCATTTGATGGTGACTGGCAACTCATGATGGTCTCTTGAGTGGTTGTAGGATGATACGTGTCTGTAAATTGAAGTGTGAATAGAAGAAAAAAGAGAAAGGTCAGAAATGACGGGGAGAGGGAGGGCATATGTAGGCATGGGGAGAAAAGGGTTCATGCCATGCCACAAGTGTGTATGTATGTGTAAATTCATTGGGGAACCTCGGGACCTTCACTGACGCCCGAATACCTTGAAGCATATCTGCTAATACGCGTTTTTGCAGTTGCATGATAGTTGCTAGGTAATGATATTTTTGGCCACGAGCGTAGGCTGCGTGATCTGGAGGGCGAGGTAGGGACATATGCATAACGTGATATTTGTCAAGTGCGGCTCCAAACCGAGGATCAAAATGCACGGATCCTGGAGGATCTTGCAATGCAGTGGGAACTTTGGTCATCACAGGTAAAAGGGGGGAAAATTGGCAAAGTGTGAGTGGAATAAACGGGAGGGAGCAATTCAAATGCAGGGCAGGTCTACCTACCTACATAGTCTAGATCAATTCGCTCTTGCTGTCTTGTTCCCAACATGCATCTCATCTTGGCAATCTGTCCGTGCCAGTCCTGCTGCAGCTCTGTCTACCATTCGATTCCATCTCCCATCTTCCAACTTTCCCTGGTTCCAGTCCACATACTGTTACGGAATCTCCCGTCCAGAAACCAGTTCCATCTCGCAGACGCAATGCGATTAAATCTCCCACCTGGTTAAGTCAGGACAACGCCCAGCCCTCGACTCCCACAAAAAACATAGCTTTCCCTCTTTCTCCCCTTTCCGACCATCCCTCTTGACCCGGATAGATCTTGTGGTCCGGTTGTACGGGACGTTATTCACCGTTCTCAGATTCGTCCTGCAACAACACTGGGGCCTTTTTTGGCACTGGCGTTGGCTACACGATGGTCGTCATGGCCCCAGTACAGAATACCATGCAAGCAGTAGCTCTGGTCGAGCAGGCCTTGTTTCTGGAAGCGCTCCCATTTCTCGAGCATGCGAGCGTCGCCGGATGAGTCGTACAGTCTGACGAGCGCAGCGAAAACGAACTTGGGCGGTATTTCAATGGTACTGACGCAGTCGATGAGTCCGCTTATTCCGTCCCTCATCACGGTGGAGAGCTGGGTGGTACTGTTTGTTGCCACAAGTGCCGCGGCCTCAGCTGCCCCCAAGGCCGCCAGTTCGTCTGGCCCCATGTCGCCCTCCATCATGTCCATGTCGTCGTCAGCTTGTGCGTTGTTGGCCTGGGAGGAGCCAGAGGCCGCTTGAGTGGCAATTTGCTGCAGACCCCTCCGCAGCTCTTCGACATCCTGTTGCATGATTAGGATTTGCCGCTGGTCCCTCTTCATATCTTGGACATCGCGTTGGATGACTCGGATGTCGGCGCGGACCTGCCGATTCCCTTAATTTATTGAAGCGTAGATAGATGATAGCGCTGCGTTTATGTTCCTGTTGGGGCTGGCCATTTTGGCTTGACTAGCAAATCGTATTTTGTGAGATAGTCCTCCAAGGATTGCGATCACGAAGAGAGTAGCAGGTAATCCAGCTAACAGCTGGAGAAGGGCGTCAGCTATATAGCTGGGGATAAAAAGGACCAATGTCTAAAGGCCATCAAAGTAGTTGAGATTCTGGAACGTGCCAGCCACTGACAATGGAAGAGGATGCACGGCGAACACACTGAAAATAAAAGGCAAACATCATTTACAAGCGATCTGATGTGCAAACGCCCAGAGTCATTTTCTCACAATTTTTGTTGATCAGTTTCTGGCCGGACTTGGCCGTTTGGGCCTTCCTTCTCTTTTTTCCCTGTTTTTGTTCTCCCTGGCTTCCTCAAAGACGTGCAAAGTGTTGATATCTTCTTTGGGAACTGACAGCTAATATGGATTGACCAAACTTGGGCAACGAGCCAGGCAGTTTAACACCATATCTACCACATACATGCTTGCACACCTTGTTTCTAACAAACGCAACATTTGTTTTGTCGGCTTTCATTCGCTTCAGTTAATATTCTATTTACTTCGATCTTCATCTCTAGAAGGGGAAATTGTACTTTCCTTGTTGGGTACAGAGTTTGGCGGCTTGAGAACTAGGTTATCCTGATTTGACGAGGTGGGAGTAACTGTATTACCTAGCCTGAATATGGTTAATGTCTGCGCAGCTGAACTTGCTGAAGCTATCGAGCATCAAATGAAGATGATAAATGAATGAAAGGACTGATGTGAAGCCCTCTTCGACCTTGGGATTCTTTCTTTTGGTTTTGGGGTTTTTGCTTTTTGATTTTCCATGTGGCAGCCACACGCCCACGCCCACCCACACAACGGTGCAACTTTTGTAAGACAGTGAGACAATAAGACAGTGGGACAAAACAAGGGACAGCCCGCCTGTCATGGTGTTGGACGTTTCGAATTCGGCACCAACCATCGTCCATTGATACAACTGCAACCCAACCCAACTTCCCTTCCGCACTCCTAGATGTTTATTTTCGACGACCATTAAAAACGTCCTAGAAACATGTGTTGCATTTGCCGTTTTACCTCGAAGAACTCTCCCGTTGCCCTATTGTGTTGAGAAGTTGAAATTGCGAATAGATTCATTTTGATCAACAACTTCTCCAAAAGTAGGGCTGAAAGCTCCAAATCCTAACAGGATGATGCCTGCCCGGCTCCCCGGAACCAAAAACCGGCGCGGTTCGGCGGCGGAGCAAAGCGGAAATTGTTAGTGCTGTTAGTGTCCTTAGACCGGATTTATAGCGGCCAGCGCCGGTCCGCCGAATAGGTTTCCAAGTTCTTCGGTTGTTTCTGCAACGCGCACCTTCCGAACTTCAATCTTTACTTCACTTCATTTCCCAAATTACCACTGAATGCACCTGCACCAACTCGAAACTACATGAAGCAACTTCTTCTTCCAAATCCAAATGCACATTGCTTCTGTGCATAAACATGAGAGATGCAGAAGGTTATCGTTTCGAGGAGTGTCCCCAATGAGTTCCGCTGCACATTCAAGCTACTACGCAAGTGTGCTCCACTGCATTCCACTGCACTTTCTACAGTTCCAGGCTTCCATTTCCATTCCACTGAGCTTCCAGCAAGTTCCCGCTGCGGCAGCACGGGCACCATCTGGAGTCGGGACCACAACGATTGACATTTTCAATTTCCCTTCATCTGTCATCTTCACATTCTCGTCACACGCTTGCTTGTTTATCAGCCTCAGCCCTCAAAGATGATTATGAAAGTTCGACCTGCCTTTGACCTTTGACGACGACCACGTGCAAATGGCATACGAGCATACCTACCTACTACAATACCTACCTGTACCTACCTGTACCAGTGCTACCTACCGTAGAAAGCTCGTGAAATCACCAGACGCCTAAGGTAGGCTGGTTTCTGGAAGTGAAGTACTCTGCAGGAAGGGCGACTTGCTTGCTTGCTCGTGAGACGAGAGCTTGACGAGAAAGGATGCCCGGTGCCTGGGTTCATTTGCCTTGGTAGTGTAGTTCTTACACTGCACTACAATTGCAAGCGACTTACAGAACTTGCGGCATTTGTCAACCCCTGGGTCAAACCGTCAAAGAAATGGTGGACTGCAAGAGTTTTCTGCATGCGTATCATGATAAGCTTTATGGTGGTTGCATCTCCCATCTTCCATCTCCTATCCATCTACCGACCCCAAGGGAACCTCGGCAAATAAACCCCAAAGTCCCAGCAAAGTCCCGTTAAACTCCCACCAAAGTCCCGTTAAACTCCCACCAAAGTCCCATTCTACACATACGTCCCCTGCGTCCCATCCATTTCGTATTCGCCTGGAGTCTTCACCTGTCGCCTATCCAAATCGCGAATCTCGATTCCCCATCACAGCAGCGAGCAGGGTCAGGAAAAAGGGCGGAGAAAAACTATAAACTGGGGAAAGAAAGTGGAGACGCGGACGAGGGTCCGGTGTGAAAATGGTAAGGGGTGTGCAGCACTTGGCTGCGTTTAGTACAGTGCCAAGCTAACATGAGAAGATTGTGGTGTAGCGTAGGTGTGGGGGGAAGGGCATGGGGGAGAGGGCATGGGGAGAAAGGCATGGGGAGAAAGGCATGGGGAGAAAGGCATGGAGAGAATGGCGATGAGGAAATGCAACCAGCAAAAAAGTAACGAGGAATGATAACGGAAACGGAATGATGACAATGGAATCAAAAAATTCATGGAGAATGGTGATGAGGAATACAGATAAAGAAGATCCCAAGAGGAAAATCTCATAACCAAGAAAGGCGACTGGGAATGATGCTGAGGCAAGTCCAAATGAGGAATAGAGCATTGATGAGAAAAGGACAACGGTCTGCTTTTGTGCCTGTGTGTGCATGTCTATAGTCTATAATGTTACATGGAATGAGTGTACGAAAAGAAAATTGAAACCCGAAAACCCCGATACCTTTTCTTGGCTTTTGGTGATGGATGGATGATGGATCTCGCTTTGATTTTGGTTTTTGCGTAGCAAGGAGAAGGTGCTGTCTTTCCCTTCGACCTTTCCAAATGGCATGATGTCGATGTCGAATTGCTTCGTGCGTCGGCGTATTCCAGAAACAATTTCATCCGTCCTTCCAACCTCATCCATTCAATCCCTTCCCATTCATCCCATTCAAATCCTTCAATTCTTCAAAACAATCAAATCATCAACCCTTCATCACTCTTGACCCCTTCACCTCAAAATGCTATCCGTACTCCCCCCATCCTCCACAGTAACAAACGTCTGATCCTTGTTCCCCTTCTGGATAGAATGCAACTGATACTTCCCATCCTGCTTCGTGCCATGCACATGTCCACCACCATCACCACCATTCCCAAACTCGCCCGTCCGCATCCCGCTCGTCGTATGCGTAGCCTGACTCCTCTTCGCCGAGCTTCCCCAGCTGCCCATGCCCAATTTTGGCCAATACCTCACAATGAGCTGCTTAAGCCTCATCCCACATCCGCAGACAATACCCAGGTTGACTTCGACAATGGACCACACTCCCAAAACACCCTCTTCGTAAGTGATGTCGACCGTGGAGCCGGGTGAGGTGTCGAGGGCGAGGACCTGCGGCAGGCGGACGATGGAGCAGACCACGACGCCCGAGCCGAGGCAGAGCAGAGCGCCGACGAGACACTTTTGCTTGAGCGAGGTTTGGATCTTGTGGATAGTAGGAATGGGGACGGCGATGACGGCCAGGTCGGAGGCAATATTGAGCACGGCTTGGGAAAGGGCGACGTTCTCGAGGCATTTGGTAGTTCCCGTCTTGAGGGGGTTGCAGGGCCCGCCGGTGATGGAGGTCAGAACAAGCGTGTAGATGAAGATGGCAACGGCGATGCCGATGACGATGAGACGATACATGCGCGAGGGGGAGATGCGATAGAGGACGGCGCACATGGCCATTTTGGTGACGGCTGGCGTAATCAGGTAGGTGAGGGTATTGGGGAGCAGGCCTTTGTTGAAGTTGATAAAGTCGATGGGCACTAGTTCATCGGTGTGGCGGGCCCAGCCGAATGCCATCACTGATGGGGTCATGATGGTTAGAGCTGTGGTTCGTTCGGCGGACTTGGGGGGAACTTACATTGGTACATGGTGATGAAATACACCAGTGCTAAGACCCATGATATCGTGAGGATAACTGTTGATGAATGTCAGCTCTTGCCTCATTGAACCATCGTGAATGGTACACTTACTTAGATCCAACTCAACCTTCTTCGTGATTTTGAAGGCCTGCATATATCTAAAGACCAAAAAGAGGGTGGCAACAAAGTATGTGACGCCAAAACCAATGAAGGTTCCGATTTGCAAGTCATTGTATGGCTTGTCTGCAAGCGTCGATGGCATCGCCAGCATCTCGGGAGTGAACTCCATGATGGCAGCCGTTTGGGCCCTGAGGCTCTGCGGCTCGCACGGGCGGCAACAAGGACAACGCCGACAACAAAACAAGAAATCCTCGACCTTGCGAACTTTTGCGTGGTATGCAAGTGTCGTGTGCGTGCGTATTCGCTTAATAGACACCGACTGGTCTAGTGCAGTTGTAGATGGGTTTAAGGAGTGGAGTGAGTTGGACACCGAGTCTGTGGATAGACAAACGAATGACTACAGATAAGTGAAAATCAAGAATCGGGAAGGAATCAAAGAAAGGGGAAGGGAATCCTTTCTGTCGGCTGGGGGGCGAGAAACGAAAGATACAACAGGAAGGATTTTCTTAGGTTCAGCTGTGACAAACCCCCATGTTTTTTCCTGGCGGCGTATATATGAACTGTGACCTTTCCCTGCTAATAGTCTCATCGATACCAAAGACAAATAAAGGTAACATCGACGCCGCTGTGAGCAACGATCATCAGGGGGGACGTGCCATTGGCAGTGATTCCGACGTGCTTCGGCTTCGTCTAACCGACCACCACCCACTTCCAAGACCGGCCCAAGACCGAGAATAAAAAAACAATAACATTTGATCGTCACGGCATGAAGAAGGAATTGAGTCTTGCGGGCTGCCGCGGAGAGTGGACGCTAACTAGATGTGGTAAACATCTGCATGCTCCACGCCATCGTTTCTTTCCGGGGTTTGGAGGCGTATTGGTATTTCTCTTGCAAGCGAGGCAAGGAAGTCGCCAGGCACGATCTCACCCTGCAATAACCAGGGCCTGTCAAGCTTGCTGACTTCGTGGGGTGATTGTCGGTTGTTCCTAGCGCTCCGCATACTCGTCAGAAGCAATGGGTCGCAGGAGGGCGTTTCTAGCCCAGACGAGTAGGTATGCGGAGTTGCATTGACAAGGCCAATAAGGGCAAAAAGGCCCACTTACAGTCGTTCTTCCTGGTGATATCGTCAGCTTTTTATCTGGGCGACGTTTCGTTGTGCGGAAAAGGCTTCCATTCCCAGCGTCTAACGGAACCAACAAACATTTCGGCAATTCTCTCAAGTGCCGTTCTTAACGGTTCTTCCACGTGCAATGAAACGACCGTGCAACCATGCAACCGTCCATTTTGTCGGGCTGTCTTTTGTTGTTTTTCTGGAATGAAATGTCTTACCCTGCGTTGCAGCTGGGATAGGTTAGTAGCGTGTCATCGAACCCCCCTGTCGGCCAATGGGAAGCCTTCCGCGAATTGGGTCCTCATACGGCACCTTGTCAACGTTGTCACCGCAGTTACCTCGACCAAGCCATTCCCGCACCGTTGTTCACAGAAAGAGCAGTCACGCCGCGTTCTGCATTGGTTCTGCATTGGGATTGTCGCGGCCAGGACCGAAAAGTCTCACGCACTGTCAACTCTGTGCTCTGGCCCAACCACGGCCGACAGGGCCCCCGGACCGGGGGTCGAACCGGGGGCGGAGGAAGAAGACGAAGAAGACGATGAGACAGTAATGTCCTTCATGCCTCGGAGAGTGCATTGGGTAATGCATTCGCTTGATGGGGAGCTCGGAGTTCACTGGTAGTCCGTCCCATTCGGGCTCGTGAGACAAGAAGGTCCAGGGCCCTCGAGAGATGGTAATAGATTGACTCGATCCAACGTTTTCCCGGGCCTTTCTGTTCTTCTCATTCGAAAGTCGGAAAAAAGAAAGGAGTGACAGACGAAAACTCGACATTTCACCACATTCCTTGCATCAGTTAATCGTCAAATTTCGGCAGATATGGCCATGTTCTTTGGACGTAAGGCGGCTGTGGCGCCGCTGGACCCGACAGATCGGGTGCTGCCTCTCCACTTCTTTGAAAGCAGCGTGCTGGTGCAGAACAGCAACATGGCTGTGTCCATGGTGTTTGATGAGGTGTTGGATCCGGAGAAGCTGAAGATGTCGCTTGAAAGCCTGGTGAAGCGAGATGGGTGGCAGAGGCTGGGAGGTCGGTTGAGGAAGAATGTAGGAACCATCACACTTGGCAATGGCACTTTCCTCCTCTCCCCCGATGATCTTTGCTGACAAGAGCGTTACACACAGGCCGCAGGCAAAACCGAATGGCACATTCCCCAGAAGTTCACGGCCGAGCGTCCGGCAATCAACTATGTTCATGTCGACCACGG